AACACTAATTCAAAAGGACACCTGCACCCATATGTTTTTTGCAGCACAATTTACAATAGATAAGCTATGGAAGCAACTCAGATGCCCAAAAATAGATGACTGGATCAAGAAGGTACGGTATACTTACACAATGGAATATTACTGAACAAACAAAAAGGATAAACTCATGCCCTTTGCAGCAACATGGGTGGAGCTGGAAGGAATTATGCTCAGTAAAATAAGCCAGAAAGAAAAAGAAAAATATAGAATGGTCCCACTTATAGAAGGAATGTAGAGAAAACAAAAAAGGAATCAGAAAAGTAAAAGTAACTATAATAAAGTAAAAAACAAAATCATTAGGCAACTGTAGATCAGAGACATTCTGTAGGGGAGGATAAGGGAGAAAGGACTAGGTCAGGGTAGGAAGAGCATAAGGGACTATGGTGATGGTGCATAGGTGATTTGGTGGTGGGAATTTCATGAGGAAACAATACATTGTACAAAAATGAAGGATGATATAATGAATATATTAAAAAAAGAAACTAAAAAATTTCTTAGCTCTGACCACTTACACTATGGTTATTGTCAGATGTTAACCTTAGGGGAAGCAGATAAAAGGTGTATAGGAACTTTGTGCTATTTTTGGCAATGTCTCTGCAAGGTTAAATTTATTTCAAAAAGGTCATTTTAAATGTTATCTTTATATTTTCATGGGGCTATACAGAGCTATGGTTAAGAGTATAGGCTTTGCAGTAAAAGTAGTTGGACTGTAATCTTAGCTCTGTCATTATCTATGTGACCTCAGTGTCATCATCCATAAAAGGTAAGGATTAAGGAAGATAATAGTGTAAAAGTGCATAGGCTAATGCATAGTGCATTGTTGGTTCATTAGAGAGTAAAATTAGTTCAAAAAAATACTGGGGTGCCTATATTTAGGCTCCCTCTTGCAGAACCCCTGGATATCTGCTTTTATGAAGACTTTTGAGAAGCACTTCTCTCAGAGGACTGAGTTAATGCTAAATTCTGATCAGCTGTCAAGGAGTCTTCCAATTTCTTGAGTCCCTAATATAATTTAAATCTACTGAACCTACAGGGGCTATAACCCCATCATTGCATCTCTTTATTGAGCATTGTGGGTACATATTTATATATGTGGCACATTAGCTGCTATGTGTACCTTTTAGTCCAGAGTTGTGCATCTAGTTAGCATCTAGTACTGGTAAATTGCTAATAGTAGGTTGGTTGTTTTGTGCTAGGATTTCGGGATCTGGGAACGTGGAGACAAGACCAACCAAGGGATCTCAGAATTGAATGCCAGTTCAGTTGGAATGGCAAAGGTAATTTTTTTCCTTACTCATTTGTACCAGGTATGGTGTGAAAATTTCAGCACATCTTTGTCGTAGATAAAGCAATGTTCTTATAAACCACAGAAACCAAGAAAAAATCAGTTTCTCCAATGTAACATGGATCTCTATGTGAAAACTTCTTCTGTAAGCTCCAGATGTCAACATCCAACTGCTTTTGTAACACCTCTGTCTACAGTAAGATACTGGAATGCCTATTAAATCTACTGTAGGTTCAGTAGATTTAAATTATATCTATTTTTTCTTACTGTATTCTCTAGGAACCTCAAATGACATATTTTAAACTAAACTCCTCATCTCTAAAATTATAAAAAGTAAAAACAAAAGAAAGAACTTATTCCCTGTAATCTAATTGACAAAGCTTGATATTAGGGAACCATATCTCAATTCTCTGTCCCCCATCTCTCCTCCATTTCCCCATATCATTATCATCATCATTAGCTTGCTGCTTAGTCCATCTTTTCCTTCCCACTGCTACTGCCTCAATTTCAGCTTTCTTTTCAGGGGGGAAAATAAAAGAAGGCATAATGTAAGATAGCAGGAATACAATCAAACATATTCATTGCAATGATAAATATTAGTGACTTAAAGTCTCTCCCAATGAAAGGCAAGGACACAAAATAATTTTTAAAAAGAAAAAAGGATCCATTTGTAATAATTTGAGAAACCCCTGTACTATTTTCTATAGGGACTGGACAAGTCTCCATTCCTACCAGCAGTATAGGAGAGTACCCTTTTCTCTACATCCTTGACAGCATTTGCTGTTTCTGGTCTTTTGATATGGACCATTCTCACTGTAATTTTAAATGTTATCTTTATATTGTCAAGGGGCTATACAGAGCTATGGTTAAGAGTATGGTGAGAGATAGATGGTATCCCATTGTTTTTTTGATTTTCATTTCCCTAATGATATGTGATGATGAGTATTATTTCATGTGCCTATTTGTCAGCTTTATGCCTTCTTTATAGAAGAGCTTAGTTAGCTTTTCTGCCCATTTTTTTTTTGTTTGGATTGGGTTTTTTATTTTCTTTTTGTTGAGTTATATGAGTTCCTTGCAGATGTTGAATATCAGCCTTTTATCATATATATGATAGGCAAATATTTTCTTCCATTCATTTTAGTGATAGTTTCTTTCAGAAGCTTTTCAGTTTGATGTCCCAATTGTTTATAATCTCTCCTGTTTTTCTTGCTGTGGATATCCACCATATGATCCAGCAGTTCCACTCCTAGGTGTTGACCAACAGAATGCAAAATAACTAATTCAAAGGGATAGCTGTATTCCTGTATACATTGCATCACTTTTTATAATAACCAAGTTATGGAAACAACATAAATGCCAAAAGACAGATGAGTGAATTTAGAAAATGTGGAAATATTACTCAGCTATCAAAAAAAATATAAACTCTTTCCACTTGTGGCAATGTGAATGCAACTACTAAATTAGATAAATCAGGAGAAAGACAAATACCTGATGGTATTTGTATATGTGCATGTAGAATATAGAGAAATAAATCAAAGAGTCAGATAAAGCCAAACTAATAATAAACTTTAGAAATCTTACTGTAGAACTAATGCTATTAGAAGAGGAGTAGGAAAACAAAGTGGGGACAGTGCCCAGTGGACTATGCAGGAGGACTATGAGTGCCTTGGTGGTGGGAGTGGTGTGGTAACATACACCTGAAGGGTGCGATCCTATACATCTAAATCCTACGGAGCATTGTAAACCAATGTTGTCTCACTTAAAAATAAAAAAAGAAGGCAAGAAGGAAAGAGGAGAAAAGGTAGGAAGGAAGTTCTGGAGTTGAGAAGTATGATGAATGAGGTGAAAAACTGAGTAGATTGTTCAATAATAAATCTGAATAAGTAGGAGAAAGAATTGTCTACTTACAGTAGGTAAAATGAGATTGTACAATATGATGAATAGAGAAAGAAAAGAAAAAAGAGAAAAGAACAGAGACTCAGTGACCTTGGAGACACTATTTAATCAATAAACATACATACAGGTATATGAGTTCCAGAAGAAGAGTGAAAAGAAATAAATTATTTGGAGAAATAATGGTGTAAAACCTTTGAAACTAAGAGAGACGTTAATCTAAAAATCACATAAGGGTATTTTTTACTATAAGTTTCTTGTAGAATGAAAGCAAATATTAGTCATGTAAAATTTAAGTGGCAGGTATTATTGACATAAATATAGTTGTTATGCCAATTATGTGTGATGGTGACCTACATGAATATATGCTCATTGTTCAGGGTCAAGTTTAAGAATATCAGAAACTGCACTCCTAAGCATCTATCAAAAAATTCAAAAATACTAATTTGAAAGGAAGCTTGCACTCCCATGTTTATTGCAACTCTGTTGACTACATACCTCAGTGCCCTAAAACAGATGTGGTATCTATACAAATGAAATACTAACTCAGCAGTCAAAAAATAAACTCATGCAGTTGGAGCAATGAGGATGGAGTTGAAAGGGATAATGCTAAGTGAGATAACTTGGAAGGAGAAAGAAAAATACTGGATGGTGTCATTACTATGCACAATATAAAGTAATAAATTAATGGAAAAAGACAGGCTCAAAACTAACGCTACATAGCTGACTATAGAACCAAGTACCAAGGGAAACACAAAGATCTGTGGTGGTGGAATGTGGGTGAGTTGGTCAGGGGTGCACTATGGTGGTAATACCTGATGGGGTACCCCAATGTTGCCACAGCTTAATTTTAGAAAAAAGATAATAGAGTACATGGAGGAGAAAATATATATCTAAATGCTAAAATTGTCCTTTGTGTCTATTCATTACAGGCTGCCCTAGAAGCACTGGATGAACTGGACCTGTTTGGTGTGAAAGGTGGACCCCAATCAGTTATCCATGTCCTGTCAGACGAAGTACAGCACTGCCAGGTAAGAGAATAATGGGCCACATTATAGAAAGTTTTACTTTTGCCCTCACGCAGACTGAGTATCGGTTTTCTAAATAGAAGCTTATGGTCTGATGTATAACATGTGCCAGAATGTCTCATTAAGCATTCCTTTAGGCATAAACTTAACATAGATGGACTAGAACATAGATCATAGTCCGATTCTGTCATCCAGGGTTACAAAGGGATCCCATAACAGTATGTGGAATTCTCACTGTTGTCCTATCAGGGGCCTATAGACTCTGCTCCAGAGTATTTTCTTTTCTAAATATACCAAGAGAACAAGTGGTTCTAAAACATTCTCCTGTCTCCAAGTGTCTCCATTGTTAGATGTTTAAAATTTAGAATATTTAAGTGGTAAATACATATCTTCAATTTTGCTTGGTATTATTTTATATTAAAAAAAAATAGGTTTCTTTTCATAGGCTTTTCACCTGTTCTCCAAACCCTGATTACATACCCATAGTGTCCTGAAAAGCTTACCTTTTAATTATAAAAATGCAAAATTTTCCATGGAAATGATAAATGTTGGGGATTGAGCACATTTTCTCAGCAGCTACATTTTTCTTTTTTTTTTAAGGTTTATTTATTCATATAGACATGGGGTACAGGCCAGAGGCAGGAGCAGTGAGAGGATTCACCAGAGACAGAGTGGGGAGCAGAACAGGCAGATCGACGAAGTACACTGCTGAGGGGAGCAGCGGGCGGGTCAGGAGAGGTCTGCTACACCATGTGGTCACCTCCGGGGCAGGCGGGAATCGAACTCATGCGGAAGCGGCTTTAGATTCTCAGTGCTGTGCTTTAACTCGTTGAGCCACCAGGGAGGGCCCCATTTTCCTTTAACTTAAATAGTTTCTAATGGAGCAACAGGATTATGGTGGGATAATGTTAGACAACTTTTCATCAATTAGCAGCTGTTCAAGGGTCAGGATGGGGAAACCTGGAGAGCCAGATTAAGATGAGGGATGACTCATAGACATAGATAGTTTTCTAAGTTCTATTGAATAATATTTAGATTTTCCTATGAATGATCATTTTCCACATAAATCTTTTGAAATTAAAGTTGTCAGTTTTAGAATCCCATGCTATTTACTAATGTGCCACATTTGACTTCCTTTCTTTCAGTCTATCCTTAATTCAATACTCCCCCGGGCTTCAACATCCAAAGAGGTTGATGCTAGTCTACTTTCAGTTATTTCCTTCCCAGCCTTCGCAGTAGAGGATAGCCAGTTGGTGGAGCTCACAAAACAGGAGATCATCACCAAGCTTCAGGTATGTGTAGATGTGGTCTTTTCTTTAGGGCTGTGTCTTTAAGATGACATTGTTGTCTTTTGGAACCTTGGCCTGGCCTTTGTCAGTGATTTAACCAATTGATCAGGGTTAACATCACCAGTAATAAGACATACTGACATCTTGTATCCCCTGCTATGGTGCACTAAGATCATGGCACCTCCCCAATAATGCAGAAGCTCAATATAACCATGAGGAAAAGTCAGATAAAACCAAATTGTCAATGAAAACAATAGACAGAAGAGTTAAACAGGCACTTCTTGAAAGAAGACATAAGAATGGCAAGCAGGCTCATGAAAAAATGTTCATCACAACTATATACCAGAGACATTTTATGGGGTGGAGTGGGGAATAGGATAAAAAATGGGGGTGGGGGAGTGCATGGGCCTATGTTGATGGCACACGGGTGAATTGCTGATGGGAAGTTCATGGGGATTACAGCTGAGATGGGGAAAGGCACAGAATGATGTAAAAATAAACTATTATAATAATAAAGAAAAGAAAAAATTAACTTAAAAAAAGTTCATCATCTGGTGGCGCAGTGGTTGAAGCACAGCACTAAGAAGCTTAAACCAGTTCCTCATGAGTTCGATCCCCGCCTGCCCCGGAGGAGATCCACATGGTGCGGCAGACCTCTCCTGGCCCGCCCGCTGCTCCCCTCAGCAGTGTACTTCGTCGATCTGCCTGTTCTGCTGCCCACTCTGTCTCTGGTGAACCCTCTCACCCTTCGCATTTCTGGCCTGTACCCCAGTTCTGTATGAATAAATAAATAAATCTTTAAAAAAAATTATTAAAAAAAAAAGTTCATCATCACTTATTACCAGGGAAATGCAAATCAAGACCACGATGAGATACCATCTCACACTAATGAGAATGGCCCATATCAGAAAGACAAGAAACAAGTGCTGCCAAGGATGTGGAGAAAAGGGAACCCTTCTATACTGCTGGTGGGGTGCATACAGTTCATTCCCTATGGAAAGCAGTATGGAGGTGTATCTAAAAATCAAAAATGAATCTGCCATACAACTCAGTAATTCTACTTCTAGGTATCTATCCCCCAAATTAAAAAAAAAACTAATTTGCACCCCATGTTTTTTGCAGTACTAGTAACTATAGCTAAATTATGGAAACAAACTAAGTGCCCCCAAACAGATGAGTGGCTCAAGAAGATGTGGTGTATATATACGTTATAGAATATTGCTCAGTGATTAAAAAAAATAAACTTGGGCCATTTTCAGCAGCATAGGTGGAGCTGAAAAGAATAATGCTAAGTGAAGTAAGTCAGAAAGAGAATGATAAATACTGGATGGTGTCATTTATATTTAGAATATAGAGAAACCAAAGGGCCAGATGAAGACAAGCTTGAAATCTAACCCTTGGCAACTAAGGGAGGGGTGGAGAAGGGGTGAGAAAAAAAGAGCAAAGGAAGCACAATGGCCTGTGTTGGTGGGGTATGGGTAATTTGGTGGTGGGTGCACTGTGGTTACAGTAACAGGGAAGGAGGGTCATATGGTTCCAAAATACCAACAATAATGTAAGCCAATATTTCCTCAATTTTAAAAAATGAGTTAATTTGAATTTTTTTTAAAAAAATACAGAAACTTTTAAAAATAACCAATTGAGGGTCATTCTATAAAATATCTGACACTTGTAAAGTGTCACAGTGATAAAAGAAAAAAAGAAAGGCTGAAGAATATCACAGACTGGAAGAAATTGAGGAGACATGACAATTAATGTCAGTGGTTCCTGAAGTGAATACTGGAATAGAAAAAGCCATTAATGGAAAAACTAGTGAAATTCAAATAACTTTTATACTTTGGTTAATATCTTACAGAAGTAAATTTTTTAGTTTTGATAAATGATCTATTGTTATATAAGATTTAATCTAAATAGACCTGGGTTGAAAGATGTACATTGACTTTGTACTGAGTGTGTAGCTCTTCTGAAAGTTTTATATTATTCTAAATTATAAAAGTAATTTCTGTTTTAAAAATCTGTGGTCACTTAAGAGTGGTGTGAGTGTGACAACATGGATTAATAGCCAAAGTGTGGCAAATTTACTTACCTTATTGTAGAAAGCTATAGAGAGATTGAGATTAGGAACTTCGCTTTAGGAAAGAGCCTATAATTGCCCTGACTAGAAATCACATTGCTGAAATCAGTTTTTGGTACTGGCTGATTTTAAGTTTTATATTTCTTATTGTTGCATTTTAAGTATGGTGTCTGTATTGTTAATATATTGGTCTATGTAGCTCTTGCTAAGGGTGTATTTCTGATTAATTACATGGACATACAAATGTAGAAGCTTCTGACAGTTTTTCCTCTATGATCCTAGGGTCGTTATGGTTGTTGTCGCTTTCTCCGAGATGGATATAAAACTCCTAAAGAGGTAGGTTTCTTTTCCCCAAATTAGCTCAAGGTAGAATGATCATTGCTATATGCAGCCTCCTTCAGATAAAATCCTTAATTCACTGTTGTTACTTATAATAATCACTAAATTAAATGACAGTGTTTGATTTTTGCTATCTATATTGGGTTTGGTTGCTGAGATCTGTTACTGAGACTTTTTGGATTAAATGAAAGGCAGGAAAGTTCTGTTCTAGCTCTTGCAGTTGATTAGCTTCAGGAAAGAGCTAGTGATGGATGCTGAAATCACTGGATTATAAGTTTAATTAGAACAGAATATTTGTATAGTATCAAAGTCTCTCACCTTGAAATATTTAATAATTGCTACAGGAAAAATAGACCTTTGGGGGCCCTCTTCCATTTTTTGCAGCTCGTTCTTAAAGAGTTAGTTTCCTTTTGTTCCACTTGTCAAAATTTCTCCTTGGAAATATCAAAGAAGGAAGATGAGGTTATGTTATAGGGAATGAATAGTCAATCAGAAGTTCTTTTATTGAAAATGCAAATATTTCAGATTTAGGCTTGCTGGTCAAGAGCCACTGTAGGTTTCTGTTTTTGTGTTTTTAATAATTGAACTCAAACGCTTCTGGTTGACTTTCTCCTTTCTACTAGATCATCACTGAATTTGAGTGCTACCCCTACAGCTTTATTAGTGTTATGGTTTGAAACATCACAGTGATAAACACAGTGGATTTTGTACTAACTTGATCTTGATTGCGCTGTAGTATATTTCTATCACCTACCTCTATATGTTCTTGAAATTCTTTTCCAATTCTAATTTCAGCAATACCATATCATCCTAATTCTCTGTCATTCCACTACTGAATACAAAGGGTTTACTTTCTTTTTGGGTCTTTCCTGATTAATAAAGGGCCTGTATCTGTAATTTGCACTTAATGTGTCACTCTGGATGATTCTGAGACCCTCATCTCTTGTGTTCCTTCTAAACTTTCTATTTGCTACTACCTCAGACTTAACAAGTATAAAACCAAACTTACCTTCATTGCAAATTAATCTCACTTTTTTATATACCTGCCTGTCGTGTCATTACCCCAGTTCTAATGAGTTACTTCACAAAGTGCTTGTTAAGGGAGGGAGGATGTACTTGTTTTACCTTCCTTGACTGCCTCTTCTAAAACAAGCTATCAATTGTGAAAGGCTGTTTTGAGCTAGCACAGCTTTTGGATAGGATATGTCTAGTCTTGAAGTGATATCATAAGACTTTGTTTATTGTGTTTTTACCAGGATCCCAATCGTCTATACTATGAACCAGCTGAGCTGAAGTTGTTTGAAAACATTGAGTGTGAATGGCCATTGTTCTGGACATACTTTATCCTTGATGGCATATTCAATGGCAATGCAGAACAGGTAATGTGCTGGGGTACAGCTTTTCAGCAGAATGTTTTTGTTATATCTTCCTCTTTCAGTCAATGACTGTCTCAACCCTCTGCACAAATCAGTTTTTCTGATAGGAAGGAGGCAGTTGTCTTCCAGAGACTAGTAACTGAGAGCACTATATTAAGAATTGAGAGACTTGGATTCTTCTTTTTATTTTCTCATTTCACTGATGACCATTGAGTTGCCCAAGTATTGTCACGAAATTTTTTGGTTTCTCTATACATACGATAATAATAGTTTTACTCTTTTTATTGGAGAAGATAACTCTACAGTTTGTGTAATTTCACAGATAAAGATATTTCATAAGTGAATGGTATAGCCAATTCAGCAACTATCATGAAACCTATATTTTGCCCCAAAATCACCATGTTCTGCATATTTGAGAGATAAAATCTGTAGGGTTTATTCAGAGTTCTCTTTAGAAATATCAATAGAGCAATGTGGAGAAATAGAATTAGGGGCATAACATTTAAAAACTTCTAATACATACCATTTTTTCTAGAAACATTGCTTTTCTTTTTTAGAAATTTTGCTTGTGTTTTCATTTTTACGTAGAAGACTGGGTTGTAGGCCATAGGTGTGAGGATTCACCAAAGACAGAGTGGGGAGCAGAATCTACTGAAAACACTGCTAAGGGGAGCATCAGGCCAGACAGGAGAGGTCAGCTACCCTATATAGGGGTTGGCTCCCTGGCCAGGGTCGAACTCAGGCCGTAGCGGTGATAATGCTGAGACTTAAACCCTATGCTACCAGGGAGGCCCCAGAACCACTGCTTTTCAAAGGACCTTCATCTATGTCAAATCCTGTCCTTCCTTCAAAAAAAAAAAAAAAGCCTGACAAATTTATAATGAAATACAAAGTTGGAGAGAGAAATCCAGTGTCAGTCTGGTACCCATTTTCACAAATGCAGTGGGTTCAGCTTGACCAAACTTGAGGAAATAGTACCAACTATTTAGAACATATTTTACTTTTTTTTTTTTTTTGCTATGGTGGATTGTATTCAATACATGGCTAGACTGGAACAAAATAAAAAGGAATTTAGACCCAATGCAGCAGAATGAGCTCTTGATCAGCTTCTACAGTTGGAAGAGCCTGAACCAAGAATTTTAGAAACATCAGGGCTCCCTTTTACCCCTGTAGAACCTATTGTTTCACTAGAACCAGTATATGTTTCAAAAGTACATTATGAAGAGGGACAATCCCCTCCTGAGCCCCCAGGTAACAGGTATACTTTCACTTAGTGCAGGATTTGTTTTGCTGTGCTTCGCTATTATATATATTTTTTGTTATTTATATTCCTCAGATAAGTGAAACAATCCCCTGTCTGTCTTTCTGACTTATTTTAGTTAGCATAATCACTTCAAGTGCCATTCGTTTTGTTCCAAAAGACTATTTCATTATTTTTAATAGCTGAGTAATATTCGCAACGGGTTAGGACACAGCACTCCAAGCTGAACATAGCTGCTTCTGTGCAGGTTCCATCCCAGCCTGGGGGTGGTCAGCATGGTGCAGCAACCTCTCCTGACCCACCCGCTGCACCCTTCAGCATTATACTTGGCCGATCAGCCTGTTCTGCTTCCTTCTCTGTCTCTGGTGAATCCTCTCACTGCCCCTGCACCTCTGTACCCCAGTTCTGTATGCATAAATAAATATTTTTTAAAAAAACATGATATTTTTATAGTGCTTTAGAGATTGTTGTAAGTGTTCATGTCAGTTTACATTAAAAATTTATGATTTAATGATGTAAAAATAAACTATTATTAAAAAAGAACTGAAGTATTTTCACTAATAAATTTTGCTTATTTTTAAAAATTTTTTAGGCTTTAACTGTTTAGAAAAATAATTGCTTGATTCACTATGCAGCCATTTGTATTTATATTTAAGAATATTATAAAATCATTAACTTTTTTGTAGTTTAAAAGGAAATTTGTTTTCTTTTTAAGTTTTGCTTTAAATCTCACCATACAACAATGATATTCAACATTCAGTCCTGATATCTCAATTTTGTTATTTCAATTGAAAACTAAAATTTAAGAATACAAGTATAATTCTTAGTCAAGTGTTTAATTCAACAAATACTTGAGTGCCTGATATTTCCCAGTCACCATACTGCCTAACAGTAAAAATAAGTAACTGAAACACTGCTCATGTCGAAAAGCTTCCTGAATGCAAAGTGCATATATAAATGCAGAAAAGTGTTAACCATGTTAGTGAATAGTTTGAAAATTAGTTTTCTGATTAATAGTTAATTATAAATGCTTTAAACAAGATTGCCCATCTTAAAGTTTAAAATTCATCCAAATCTGATCTAAGCCTTCTTATTAGTAGATGTTCTAATAATAGATTAGCAAAACATTGTTTCGCTTTATTTACATATTTATACTGTGACTAAATGAAAAGGGAAAATTTAGTTACTCTTGAGTTAACCTCTCCAACCTAGTCCTTAGTTTCATAGATTGGTTCTGAGACTTTGCTCCTTTTAGCTTAGATCTTTATTACATTTATAAGTCTCATGTCACCCCATATGAACTGTTATAACCTCTGATGAGATTGAGTTAGGTTTTATTGGCTATTCTAAAAGTATGGTTCAGTTTCATTTATGAATATTGGAGTTATTCTGTAAAGAAAAACTTACATATCTATCAGTAATCAACTCAATTTGGGGTTGAAACTTCTAAAACTACCTTTTTTTGTGATAGGTTAGAAAGTCAAATGTGGTCAATTTCAGATGGATAAGCATTAACACACTATTAATACATTCCAGTTCCATCATTTAGGTGATATTATAGCTTATTTCTTTAATCTGATATTGCATTATAACTTTCTTACATTCTCCTGGGCTGTTTACTTTCAGAGTATTTCCAGCCTATTTTACTTCTCTTTGATAGTAAAATGGCCTTTGATAATACAAGACCTTTCACCTTAGAGAGAGAGAAAGAGAGAGAGAGAGAGAGAGAGAGAGAGAGAGAGAGATCTATCTGGGCCCTTCCTGGTGACGCAATGGATTAAGACACAGCACAGCAAGCCAGCTGTAGCTGCCTCAGTCCTCAGCCCCAGAGGTGACCCACATGATGTGGCAGACTTCTGTCTTACCCGCTGCTCCACTCAGCAGTGTACTTTGTCAATCTGCCTGTTCTGCTCCCCACTTTGTCTCTGGTGAATCCTCTTACCGCCCTTGCACCTCTGGCATGTACCCCAGTTCTGTATGCATAAATAAAAAAATCTTAAAAAAAAAAGAGATCTGTGGAGACAAGCAGACTCAAACCTGGACTTTACCCTTACATATACTGAATGATCTTCACAATTTCATAAGCTCTGTGAATCTGTAAAAAAAAAGGCTTTAATTACATGTACTCTTTGATGTATGTTAAAATTAAATTCCTTCAAATATGTAAAACTGCTAGCATACTTTCTGTCTGCAGTAAGCATTTAGTAAGTGATAATTCCCTTCACATTTTACTTAAGTGAGTGTATTTGTTTGCAGTAAGAACTACTTCCAGTGACAACTCTTGTCAAAAGCCCCACAAAGAACTCTCTATAAATATACACAATGGACCACTATTTGGCAGTCAAAAAAGATAAACTAATGCTATTCGAAGCAATATGGATGGAGCTAGAAGGAATTATACTCAGTGAAATAAGTCAACAGAAAAAAGAAAAATATTTGGATGGTTTCACTTATATGAGGAATATAGGGGAACCAAATAAGACATCAGGGGGGAAATAATAATACAAGACACAACAAGACAAAAACAATTATAAATAAGAAAAATCCTGCAGGGGAGGGGGCAGGAGAGGGACCATAAGGAGAGAGGGAGGAGCACAGAGGACTATGATGATGGTGCCCTAGTGAATTGGGGGAGGAAATTCTGTGGGGCCTACACCTGAGGGAAAAAAGTAAACATTGTTTAAAAATAAACAGTGATGTAAAATAGATGTAAAATAGATGTAAATAAATAAATTTAATTTAAAAAATGTTTTTCCTCCCTCTCTCATCTATAGGTTCAAGAGTATAGAGAGGCTCTTGAAGCTGTCCTCATTAAAGGGAAAAATGGAGTATTACTGCTGCCAGAGCTGTACAGTGTTCCTCCTGACAAGGTGGGCCTTGGACAGTGCCATAACATGGATCTAGGAGAAGAGGAAACAGTTTTTAATCTTCTTATCTTAATATTCTAAAAGTTCATCTCTTTTAAAATAAATAGCAGTCTTAGTTCCACTGTTGCACAGTGAGACAAGGGTAAGAGCAAACTATTGCTCCTCTTCTCCATTGTAAAAGTACACAGCATTAACTGTGGGAGAGATGTAGTTTTCCATTCTAGTGCGAATGGGTAGAATAAGCTCCCAGCATCATTAAACATAATTGCCTGAGAGCTTGTTAGAAATGCAGCTTTCACAGTTTCCCCCTACATACTAGATTAAATCTGCCTTTGGACAAGATCCTTAGTGACTTGTATGTATGTACAGATGGAGCAATACTGTCCTAGACTATAATCATAGTGCTTGACTTTTCAGTACATGGGTTGTGTGACTGTTCTGTATGGCATGAATTACAGTTCAGAGTCAGCCTTTTTGTTGCCTAGTATTTTAAACTTTCAGTTATCCCTCGTGTGGCTTCTTTTCTTTTAGGTTGATGAAGAATATCAAAATCCTCACACTGTGGACCGAGTCCCCATGGGAAAGTTACCTCATATGTGGGGTCAGTCTCTGTATATCTTAGGAAATTTGATGGCAGAGGTAAGATCTTCTGTTCTTTCTCTGACTTAGTTCCCGTAATCATCAGATTTTGGTTTATCTTCTTCAATCTCAGTCATATGTCTTGATTTTTGTATTCTGCCTCAATTATAGATTTTCCTTCAGTTCCGTAGTGTGGGAGCATGACCAATCCATGACAGAAGTTTTGAGCTCTGGCAGCCATGGTCTTCATACTGTCTAATGTTCTCTCTACTTTGGCACTGTCCTTGGAGCTATTCTAGAATCAACCTCTAGAACTTTCCCTTTGAAAACGCCCTCTATGTTTTGTTTTTATGCCAGATTTTCTTGTTCATTCTTGCTATATTTTCTAGAATATCGCTAAATAATAAATTCTTCTCTCTGTTAAAAGAAAAAAAAAAAGAAAACGCCCTCTAGTGTCTTGTGTGGTAACTGCAATGGTGATAGTAATGATTAATGGGTTTAAGTGCCAACTTTTTCATATTTATCAATAAATCTATTTCTCCATTGTAGTTTATTACAGAAAATTATAATTTAGACTCCTAGAGTATCTTGGGTGGTGCCGAAGTATCTTTTCTCATTCAGACAAGTTGACCTATTTATATATCACCATTTAGTTTCTGTTGCTATTTTTGTGTTTCGTTTTTCTTCTATGACTTTGATTATCTTTAGTTGACATCAGTATGAATCTAGTAATAATGGGAAGAACAATCGGTTCAGAATAATCCTTACCTAATGAACTATCTTTTTCAATTAGAATAAATTAAATACTATGAAAAATACCAAGATGGATGGTATTAAGGCAAAATGGATGTTTTTATCCTATTTTATAAAGGACAGAAAGTCAAGTCACAAGATACCTGTTGAGCAGAAGGCATAAAAAACACATGAATAAATGAGAACCAGGACTAGTAATTTAAGTTGTTAATAACTAGCATTGTGGTCTGGTTGTATAATCATGTAAATCCAGAGAAAGTGGAGGTGTAAGTAGAAAATGTTGTCATGTATAATTTATATCTCATCTATTTCCAAAACACAGCTTGTATGGCAGCCACTAGAAATTAACTTTACATAAAGTTAATTTGGATATGAGTTCAGGAAGTTTAGGCATTTTCATATAGTGAAGATACTTGTTTCCTATCCATCCCTGCCTCTCACATATTGTGGTATAGGGGTATAGTATTAGTATGTAGCTTCTTCTCAAACATTAACTTATTTCTTGAGATATAATAATCTACATTTTATGGTTCTTCTCTAGGGGTTTTTAGCTCCTGGAGAAATTGATCCCCTGAATCGTAGGTTTTCTACTGTACCAAAGCCAGATGTTGTTGTTCAAGGTATGTATTTTATTGCCAACAGCACTGACATATTTTTCAATATAAATTCCCTTTAGGTGTTATTTTCTTTCTAACTGTTTTTTTTTTTTCTTTGCTTTTTTTCCCCCCCTTTTTTTTGAGGTAACATCAGTTCACAATTCTTTTTGATTTAGGGGAATTATAGGTTTGATTAGGGACCAGAGATCTTTGGACCAGTAAATGATAATTTTATCTGTTATTGTCCGTGTTAGTCTTCACGAAGTATAGACCAAATTTAGTTTGTTTACAAAATTGCTATTACACTTGGTCATGAACAATTGTTTAATGAATGATATGTTGTGATACTCTTAACCACTCCTTACTTCTGGAAACTTTTAATTTTTATCATCCTACTATACTAGAACCCTGTTTATCTATGCTTTCTTCTTCTTTTTTTTGTATTTTTTTTGAGATAACGTTAGTTTATAACACTGTAGATTCCAAGATTACATTTCTCTCCATACCCACCACCAGATGTCCTCTCACTGTCCACCATTACTGACATACTCCTACCTAATCTCTCCCTGCTTCTTACCTTCTGCTAACCTCCATTTTATTGTCAGAGTCTGAGATTTTTTTCACTTTTGATTTCTTTATAACTACAAATAAATGAAGTAATATGGTATTTGCCTTTTTCCTTCAGACTTATTTCATTTAGCATAATATCCTCGTTACCTCCTTTTTTTGTCCCAAATGGCAAGATTTCATCATTTTCAATGGCCAAATAGTAGTCCATTGTGTATGTATATCACATCTTACTTACTCATTCATCTTAGGTTGTCTCCATATCTGGGCTGTGTGGATAGTTTGCAATAAACATAAACACGCATATGTTTTTTTTAAGTCAGTGTTTTCATGTTCTTTGGGCAAATACCAGAAATGCGAATCCTGGATCATGCAGTAGTTCAAGTTTTTTTTTTTTTTTTTTCAGAAGACGGCATACGAGATGTCGAGCAGTGACTGGAGTTCAGACGTGTGCTCTTCCGATCGAACA